TAACCATTTAATAATCATTAATGTGCATATACGTTTGACAAATTCATTTCACTTGTGTGTTTTCATTAATGTATGAATTTCATATTATTAATGTTCAAATAATAAATATTTACACTCACTTATTTAACCATTTAGTTATCATCAATGTATATATATATATTTGATGTATTCATTTCACATGTGTATTTTCATTAATATACGAATTCCCTATGATTAAATCTCAATTAATTAACATTCACATTCACTTAAATTAATATTCATCTTCATTTATGCATTTCAGTATTATTAATTCTAATTATAAATTAATTAGAATTTCATATTCAATAATGTATTTCATTATTCACGTCCATGTATGCTAATTAAGATCAGTTCTACTTAATTGAAAATTAAATAAATGATTTAACATTCGATGTCAGGTATATATTCACTGACATTAATTCTAAATTAATTAACATTCACCCATATTTAAATATTACTTTTACAATAATTATAAAGCATTTCATAATAATGTGCAACGCAGGGTCAATGTCGACTGTTATAATTAAAAAAGTTAATTATAAAAGAGTAATATTATTTATCTCCACTGGGGATACAATCTCAATCTAGGTGGCATTAACTTAACATTAAATGATAAATAAAATTAAATAAGTCATTTAATTTCATCTTTCATTTAACATAATATCTAAATACACCTCGATTGAGGTTGTAAATTCAGTAGGGCTGCATAAAATTACTCATTATAAAAATGTGTAGGCAATATTGCAAATCAATGTTTTTGGCAATTAAGATTTTTCATCTTAGATATCCAACGTTGTCCAATCGTAAATCTTACCAAAGTTCTTAGATTCGTCCCATGAGATAAAATAAAGACGGAAAACACGCATTATTAGGAATAGGGGACGGGAGGAGGTTGATATCAATGTAAAATTAATAATTTAAATTTTGAACCTCTAAAAAACCAGGATCCGGACCCGGTGCTACATCAAACAGTACTTTTTGGGCCCATCATTATCTATAGGATTAGACACAACGACGATGGCCCTCAATTACTTTTTTGTGACACATATCAATCAAATAAATTGACGGTGTTTAATGTTTATTAGGTAATGCTACACGTATATAATGCGGTGTTTATAACGGTGTCCACCCCTCACATGGAGGTGGACCCACTTTGAATAAAATATAATATATTCGAAGTCGGTCTCTCTCTATGTGGGGAAGTGAACACCGATATAGTTACCGCACTATGTACAAGTAGAATATTCTTTATTTGATTGATCCTTTCCAAAACAACAATTGTGTTATATATATCTTCTATATATAAAAAGTGCCTATTTAACGGAATTTGTTGGTTTAACTGAAAAACTAACGGAATTTGTTGTTTTAACGGATTATGTAACGGAATTTCTTGTTTTAAACAGGCAGCTGCACATTCCTTCAATGTTTTTATCATAATTTTGTATTTCGATATTCGATTGATCCGCACATTATTAGGAATAGGGGACGGGAGAAGGCTGATGTCAATGTAAAATTAATAATTTAAATTTTGAACCTCTAAAAAACCAGGATCCGGACCCGGTGCTACATCAAACAGTACTTTTTGGGCCCATCATTATCTATAGGATTAGACACAAGGACGATGTCGATGGCCCTCAATTACTTTTCGCAATACTTGTGACACATATCAATCAAATAAATTGACGGTGTTTAATGTTTATTAGGTAATGCTACACGTATATAATGCGGTGTTTATAACGGTATCCACCCCTCACATGGAGGGGGACCCACTTTGAATAAAATATAATATATTCGAAGTTGGTCCCTCTCTATGCGCGGGAGTGGACACCGTTATAGATATCGCATTATGTACAAGTAGAATATTCTTTATTTGATTGATCCTTTCCAAAACAACAAGTGTGTTATATATATATAAATAATAATTCCGAATGCATGAAAGTCTTTAATTTGCTGACCTTTCGCATGTAATTTTTTTTTGCAATATATTTCCAACACACACAAAAAATTACAAGAAAAATATTAATTACTGAAAGTTAACATAAAAAAAGTTGATATCAGATCGACAGTTTTGACCAGGAGCCCAGTTAGGTGGAATGACTTTTTTGGCTAAAATGGATTTTCTGGGCTCAATGGTAGTGAGCTTAATAGAAAATGGGCCTTCAAGCCCATCAAGAATTTAGTTTTTCATGGTTCAACCTTTGATTGTTGCATAGGAATCCATGTATTGAAATTGCCTAGCTTGACAAAATCAAGGTCACCATCCCCATTGTCAAGCTCGATTGCAAAAGCTATAGTAAGGTTTAGAGTTAAATAGGATAATGACGAAGTGTTGGATTAATGTACTAGGTTCAATCTTTGGGCTACTTTAATCATTGCGGGTTATTGTGAATTAATTTGATTAATTGACTTTGGACCTATTAGAATTAGGGTTTGCTAATCCTAATAATATTAGGATTTGTAGTAATTTATATATGCATAGTCTACGTTTTAGGGTTCAATGAAACTTTGTCATTACATCCTTTCTAGTTCACGATATAGACAAAAATCCTGAACATAATCCCTAAAAGTCATCGCGCGCCACTCATCGTTGCCCCTCCATCATGGTGTTGGTCGGAGTTACATTTTGTTCTTGTTGTGTGTAATTTTACTGGACTTTTCCATTTGTACCGAAAATAGATGCCAATGAATTTGACAACCTCTCACGTGCGGCGGCCTTGTGAACAGCTGAACACGCTAAGATCGTGACATATGAGAGATACAGACTCGTCCCAGCGTATGAAATTCGCCAAAGGTAAATAGTATAGCACATACTGTATCTAAACACAAAATTGATCTAATATTTTGTGTATTAAAACTTGCTTAGTTTTGTGTGTGTGTGTTTAAGTAAATACCCGACAATAAGGCACGTCAGCACTACATTCGATGGCATGAATTGAACAATATTAAGTAATACACGTACATCAATGCATCTTCGTAAGTGCTGACGTATCTTACAGCAAGTCTCTCTCACCTAATTATTTATAGATATCTTCTATATATTAAAAGATCACCAATATATACCTATATCTTCTATATATTAAAAGTGGTTATGTAACGGAATTTCTTTTTTTTAACGGAAAAACTAACGGAATTTGTTGTTTTAACGGATTATGTAACGGAATTTCTTATTTTAAACAGACAGCTGCACGTTCTTTCAGTGTTTTTAATCATAACTTTGTATTCTGATATCTGATTGGGGCGATTTAAAATGCGTTGGAAAGCTAATTCATCTGGCTACAACTTTGATTTAGACATCATTCTCCAATTCGATCACTTTCTATGCCAAAAATAGGTCTCAATATGAGACTAAAATATCAGAGCATAACTTTTCGGTTGGAAATTGATTTGTGATCATCTTTTGACTAAATTTGATTCCATTGACGTCTTCCTTTATCCAATTGACTCCGAGCACTCTCAAATCTTCATCGTGAGGTTCGGCACAACTTTTAAGTATTTACATTTTAGTCCCCGAACTTTGGATCGTTTATAATTTAGCAACTTTCTCCAAATTGAAACAAACAAGCTCTTAAATATAATGGGTTTGTGTGTAATAGTATTTTATTTGGAGAATGTGTGGTTAAAATGAAGAATGAGAATAAGAATGAGAAATTAATGGGTGCCAAACGGGGGCTTATTTCTTCGATCTCACCAACTTGCATCACAACATCAAAATCACACATCTAATTATTTATCAATTACATAAACATTACATCGTTAATTATTTAATTAACCAAAAAAATTATATCTTTATTAATAACAAATTAATTCTTAAACAAAACTATTAAATATAAACGTGCATTGCACGTTGCTTGCACTTAGTATAATTAAAAAGTAACAATTATATATAAAGATGGTATATAGTACTGTTTAAAAGAAAAGTGAAAAAGGATGAGAGGGTCCCACCTCATAATTTTTCATTTATTGCTCTCACAAGCTGAATTTTTGAAGAAAAAAAGTAACGTGAGACTGTTTATTAGACCATTTCTTGATCTGATCAGTCTCCATCTCCTGACCACAGATTCTTGACTTTTTTAATTCTAGTTGTCACTAGAGTTATTGTTTGTTGCACTTTACCTGAACAATATCGAATTTCTTTTTGTATTTAAAATGTCAAATTCTTTTCTTCGTTTATGTAAATATTTTTTTGCTGAAACTCTATCGACTTTAGAGGGAATTGAAGGTAACAAATTATTTTATCAAATGGAATCTGAATCATGATGTTTGCGAATCTGTATTTGAATCCAAAGAACAAGGATATAAGAGAGAAACATACAAGTTAACTTCAGAATCCGACAAAAACAAATAATCTCGACTTCACTCGTGTTAACGCGTTAAACTTCTGCACACTTGGACAAATGTTGGGTGAACGTGACCTTTATTGATGGTGGGGAGGCAGTCATGGACTCTCCGAAGTTGTTAAATTGCTCTTGAAGTTGTTAAATTGCAATCTATACGATTCAATTTTGATACACATACATTCTAGTTGACATTCTGTTTTATATTGTATTATGCGACACACAATTTTACCACTGATTTCTTTAACACTTAAAACAATCAATTATCTCGATTTTGGCACCTGTTCAAATGTCATCCAAGCTGTATATCAATAATGTAAAAGTAGCATAATTGCTATACAAATAGATATAAAAAAGTATAGAGGTAAATAATACTGTATTAAAGTCTAAATTAGGATTTTCAATTTGCACATTGAATGCAACGCGGTTTTGGTGAGGCAAAAAGACACATGCAGCTGACTTTAGAGAGTCCATGGCTGATAAAAGCATTAATTTTGCTGCCAACTTTTACATAATTTCTCTTAGGTCAATTCATTCTCTATATATGAAGATCAAACAATCCCAGGCCTCATCACCCGATTAAGGTTAGATTCGGTATAGGATATATATACACGACTTTTTGAGTAAAAGTATAAAGGAGAAGTCGATATGGGCAGACCGCCTTGTTGTGATAAAGTTGGTGTGAAGAAAGGGCCATGGACTCCTGAAGAAGACATAGTATTGGTGTCTTATGTTAAAGAACATGGTCCTGGAAATTGGAGGGCTATACCTAAAAATGCAGGTTATATAATTTTCTCGATTTTCTGAAAAAACAATGTTAATTAGTTAGCTAGACAGTGTCGAGTGATGTTCCTTTTTTTCAGGTTTGCATAGATGCAGTAAGAGTTGCAGGCTAAGATGGGCTAATTATCTTCGGCCTGGGATCAAAAGGGGTAACTTCACTGAACATGAAGAGAAGATGATCGTTCAGCTTCAAGCTCTTTTGGGCAACAAGTATATTCTCATCCCCTCTCCCTATTATACGTATCATCTCTTGCAATTGAGATCAAAGCTTAGGGCTTGTTTGACGGAGCTTCTGCTATAGATTATATATTTTGTAAAAAAGTTTTTCGCTTACTTTACCTGACATGAGCTTCCTCTAAAAGTCTTCTTCTCGGTGTCAGGAACTGTTTTTGGCTTTTCCAAAGTCCTGCCAAACTGACCCTTAATCTGAAACAATAATGGTTAAAAAATTATGAACTTAATTGCAGATGGGCTTCCATAGCTTCTTATCTCCCAGAACGAACCGATAATGACATAAAGAACTATTGGAATACGCATTTGAAGAAGAAGCTAAAAAATCTTCAATCTTCAAACTTGGATTCTCATTCAACTTCGCACTCAATTACGAGAGGTCAATGGGAAATGAAGCTACAAACTGATATCAACATGGCAAAACAAGCACTTCGTGATGCATTATCATATCAAAATACGAGCAATTTCACTGAATTGATCCCAGAATTCAAGCCGTCTGATACTAAACCTGGAAAAGAATTTACATATGCATCCAGCACTGAAAATATTGCCAGATTGCTGAAACAGTGGGCGATAAATAGACCAAATTCTTCAATTACTCGAAATTCAGTCGATTTCAGTGCTCGTGAATCCATTCCTAGTCCATGCACCTATAGCAATAGTGGAATTAAGTTATCTGAATCATTATTCGGGTTTGGATCCGGATCATTTGATTCTTCCAACTCTGAAATTGAATTTACCGGGTCCGGTTCTCCTGAAGCTGGTTATCTTCATGGTGAAAGCAAACTTGACCCGACAGAACTGGATCCGGTCCATTTGTCAACTCTGGAGAATCTGCTACTTGATGATCAATGGAAGGAATGCTCATTTGACGAAAATCTGGATTTAGTTTAGAATGATTTTATTTTTTTATTTTTTGTTCTAAGTCCCTCACATTAAGCATTTTTTCACTGTTTAGTCCCAGCCTAATTATTTTTCATTCACAATTATTTGTAATGAATGCTATTAAGGAAGTGTTATGGACTTCATTATAATTCAGTTTAATCAAGGTTTATTTATTTCCCATTATTTCCAGTAGCCAAAATTTGAATTTTCAATTTTGAATAAAGCCACAACGTTTTCATTAATCGGTCAATCACATCATTTTCTACTTTGAATTTATCCCGACTCAATTAAAAAGCCTTATCTCTTTCTTTCGGTCGTTGAACGAAAAGTGGTTTGGGAAAGGACTTTCGAATCAGATGCGCTCGCCCGAAAGGCCTTGGAAGTTTCTTTTTCACACCATTGTTATTCGATTGGATCAAGGTCTACTTCTAGAACCTCACCCACTTTAGTAGAAGCTCTTATTTACTATATTGACCTTGAAATTTACGGTTCATTAAATAATTGTACTTTTTTCAAGTCGATTGTTAAATTCTATGTGCACATTTATGGCTTAATTTTTTATAGCAAGTTCGAACTTTGTCACTTAAAATCTCTATTTTCTTACTGAGTTGATGAAAGATGATTAAATGGTGGCTGATCATGCATGTATTGGATTGAAAGGCTGTGATTTCCCATCAAAATTGTATGGGAAATTAGGAAAAGTATGTGGATGGTATCTTTGCCTTGGAAACATGCAATATTTGCCTTAAATGCTAACATGTGAAGTGTGCTATTCTAATCTTTTAGCATGTAAAGGTTGAAAAGTGAACATGAACCTCGTTACGATAGGAACATTTTTCTTTCAAGTTGATTTTTTTAATCTACAAATCAATAGAAAGACGCAATATATTCATTATCGAGAACTTGGTGCGGCTAACGTAGTACACTTGTCGACTTCTAGACGATTATGCGTGTTGACTTTTGAAAACCAAAGAACTTGACTCAATTCTAAAAAACCGGAGTCAATGTTATTAGTTCACCATTTTTAATCTAATTTAAGATCAACAATCTTTTTTTTTTTGGATCACTTGAGTCCCTAACTTTTTTCTATGCATTCTTATTATCGACCTTACATGAGTTTTGCTACACAAATATAATGGTTGACACAAGGAATGACACAACACACACATAGGGATATTGACATTATTTAATTCAGGTCGGGACTCACATGCAATGTGAGAGGTCGGTCGACCCCAATGTCAATCATTATGTTCATTTAACTTAATTCACCTTACATTGATTAACATATTATGTCTCGAAGAACATTTTAATCATAAAATTCCGTCGAGAAAGCATTACATGATTTATTTGCCCCATCGTATATAATAAAAAATAAAAATTCAGAAGTGCCACATAGTATTTTACTCACTTAAAAGCAAACGAGCAGAATATTTTAACATAAATCATTACCAATGATGAGATGTTTTAATTAATGAAAGGTCGAAGGTAGAAATTAAACGAAAAAAGTTGGGGACACAATGAGTACAAAGAAAAATTGTTGAGAACCTTAAAAGTAATTAAAATATGGTAAGCTAGGTAGAAATTGTGATGTGAATATAATTATGGAACCATAAAAAAATGTTAGTCGGTTTATTGGGCCATTTGAAGCCCAAATTACTTTAAAAGGAAGAGATATGGGTTTCAAAGTTTGGAGCCCATTATTTAAGGCCCAAATAATCCAAGTATCTTGTATCCTTATTCATACATTAAGCCCCTGTTTCGGAGCTATTTTCAGCAAAATTTTCAACAAAAAAATGACGGTTAACTATCCAAATGTATCTATTCTACTAACTACTAGTTGAAGGCACGTGCAAGGCACGTGTTGAATTTTTATTGGGTATTTAATAGCGTTGATATATATTTGTGGATAAGGATTAATTATAGTAGGTTGGTTATAATTTCATTATTGTTAGCACGGAAATAGGATACAAAATTGAACTTGTAATAAAAACTTGATTTAAAATTAAATGAAATGTTTTTAATAGTGTTAATTATTAGCTGGGTTTTTGGAAGGTTGGTAAAGTTGTGGTTTTTTGGATTTGTTTCCGCTTTTTTTGTTGTGGTTTGGAGTTGTGTCGTTTGCATTTCTTTCCTAGTAATCATAGCATCAGTTATTTGTTTTTTTTATGTAAGTTGAAAGCTATTTGATTNTATAAATCTTATGGAAATGAATTTCGGAGCGCCTTTTAAAACCTTAAGAGTCGTCCAAAACGCAAAACAACACATTCTAAGAGACTTTTAAAGCAGAGAAAGAGCTAAGAATACGAAGATAGAATCCAAGAACACGAGAATCAATTCAAGAATTATATTAGGTGATATCGATTTTTCAATATTCCTTTTGTTTTCTTCTTCATAACATGCAAAACTAGTTTTCTATGTACTAAGAAAACAATGAATCATGTGATATGAGTTTTAATTTTTAGTTTTATATGTTTGATATTAAAAACACGTTTTTGAATATTGAATGATTTATATGATTTTATTAAGAGGTGTTAATAACATGTGCCATCTTGTGTGAATATGGTGACCTATTTTATGCATTCGAAAAAAGGAAAATAGATTCAAAATATATAAATTGTCATATGGTCCGATAGGGGATAGAAATATACCGCTATACCTTATGTGAATCATTAAGTGTTTATAAAAATTCATACATTTTTATATATTTTCATTCAGCATAGAAATATAATCGGGTCATATATAAAAATAGGTTTAATATTACTCGAGAGAGATTATTAAATAAAATAGGAATATTGATTCATCAAATTCAATCGTGTTTTCAACGTGTTAAACTGGGATTAAAACTTATTATTGCATGAGAATTTTGGATCATAGTATGTGTCATTCATTAAAAAAATATTAACTTGTGTTCAATATAACTTGCATTTAATTTAGTCAATTCACTCATAATTCCATAAGTATGTTAATTTAGATATAATTCACTCACAAACACATATTAATCTTATTGCGGTTAATGTCGCGATAATAAAAACTGAACTAAATCAATTTATGTGGGACGACATTCGAACTCAAAAATCCACTTTAATGCTTATTAACGAACTGTGCACTTGCATTGGTTTTAATTCGAAATATATTCTCGTGAACAGTCGTCTCACGCTGTGAATACAATAACTTCAAACTTTGTTGCTGATTCAGATTTATAATAGATCGGTATGGAATCAGCAAATTTGGGATTAGAAACATGTTCCGAAATTATCTTCGGCTAAGTGTCTAATATGTTTTAGTCTAATACATGATGAACTGATATCACACATTCATTTGTTTCTGTTGTTCACAAAATACCATATTACAGTAATATCACACAGATTTCCCCAAGATAGAGGATTTAATGATTTTCCAATGTGAAGATACCAAAAATGCGCGTCATGAACAGAGAGGAGAATTTCTTTTTTTTTTTTTTTTGGAAATATGACCTTCCAATCTTCAAGAGAGGAGATTTCTGTTTTCCCAATTTGATTTCAGCACTATCTCTGCATCGACATTTAATGAAATGCGTGATGTTTGCGTTGTTTAAATTTCAGTTAAATTGAAAATTATGGAAATTATACAGGTCGGTAATTTTGGTGTATATATATATCACAGAAAGGTAGTATTTAATATGTTTATATATATAAATAGTATTATATGAATTGTTATTTTTAAGATGGGTGTATGCGATTTTTTTCCCGTAAATGTATGGATCAAATGACCATACGTATTCAATATTTATTTATATTTATTTATAAATTCTTTGCAAATGGACTTTTATTTGCCTTACTAAATTTATTATTTTTGTATGAATAATAAGGAGCATATTATTGACCTCGAAAAACGTAACATCAACGTGGACAACATATGTCGGGCCTACTCACACCAACCTAAGCAAATTCCAGCGTGTTTCGACTGGTGAATCAGTAAGAGAAGGGTAACACGTGAATGCGAGAGATGCGACAAAAATGTTCGAGTACCGACGGTAATGACTAAAGTGACTGTGCTAACAAACAATCACCAACCAAAATATAAATAACATAATATCCAAACTAATAATAATAGATTAAGCGAGAATGTATATTGAGAATGCTCTCGTATATTATATTTTTCAATGTTCAAAGAACCATCCATTTTTATGTATAAAGACCACATATTTGTATATTTCTAGCCGACGTGGTAACCATTAGATCAGAACCACGTGGTCTCATCCTCTTGACCGAAACCTCACATCACTAATTCTATCATATATTAAATATATTGACAACGGGTCAACCGCACTATACAATAGGCTAACACACCTGACATTCTTTATTACTGACATCACATCAATCATTCCTAAAGATTGTTTGCAAATCTTGCAAGAGAGCTTCAGATCCAAGGACCTTGGATGAACTAAGGGCCTCGACTTGAGAGGACTTCGTCTTAGTTGTCTTTGATGCGAAGAGCCTTGGCATAACAGGAGTTTCAACATACTGCTTCGACCATTTAGACAGTGTTTTGGTACAATAGTTTCAGCCATTCATTTGATCTTTTTACATTTGACCGGTTGACTTTTCTTTTCATGTGAATTGCTACTTGGCGTTTTGACTTGAGCTTCAGTGGCGAAGCGTAACACAAATCATGTTGTTGTTTTACATTGATTATTTCATTTATTATTTCGAATTTTTTCTGAAATGAAATCGAGCACTTTAAATTTTAATTTTGTATTGAGAATAACTTTTTTGTATAGTAAATGAATTTATTTAAAATATTACTTATGAAGAAAAAGCTTAGATCAAATAAAATATTATCATTGGTTCGAGGAAATATAAATAGAATAATTGAAATAGACAAAACTTTCTCGTTTACTAAAAGGGTTTTTTTTTCATACTGAAATAATTCCAAAAGAATTTTTTCACTTAATATTACATCACAATAACAACTTTACGATATATAATGGTGAAATTATTTTGATAAATGTGAAAACTGCTGATTAGATT